CGACGATTCTGAAAAAAAAATAATATATATCCAGCAACTCGAAATCGAAATGCGTATGTCGGGCTTGAGGCCCATTAGACCGTTAGCTATAACTGATTGGAAGCCTTCCAACCACATTTTCATTTTTATAAATCAACTCATAGTTCGAACGAAAGTAACGCTCTCATGAAAGTATGAAACTCATAATTGAACGTTTTGTATTAGATGCTCTCTTATCGTGGCTTCATTTTTTTTGTTTTAACGTCTGTGGTAAGGTTTATAAATTAGGGTTAATTTGCATGCCAACCAAAAAAATTAATAATTCAATAACTAACTAAAATTGCCATATATAGCAAAATTATAGCCATGAGATTTAGGGCAATTGGTTAGTTTTGTAATTACAGAATTTTGTTGGTTATGCATGCTAATTTTTCTATAAATTATACAGTGCGTACACATTAAAACATCTTGACATATATGGTATCCACAGTACAAAATTTCTTCAACTTAATAATTTTTCTAGAACGATTATTTTGTCTTGTTTTGATGAGAATATTTTAGATTCTAAACACAAATATTATACATATTAAAATACCGTTTCTCATTTTTTATGACCAAAATTGTATTACTGTATTAGAAAACTGATCTTCCCCCAATTAAAACGTTTATAGTGGTCAAATAAGAAGCTTTTTTGAAAAAAAAAAGATATTGAATAAAGTCAGTTACAAAAGTCTTACATGTGACTTTCGTGGTTCGATTTCCAAAAAACATGAACTATGCACAGAGCCGTGCCTACATTTTCGGGGGTCCAAAGCGAAATTCATATAAAAAAAAAATTGTTTTTCAAATTTCAGAAATATTAAATATTTTAATTATATTAATGAATATACAATTTATTTAGTTATATTTTAATGTTTTAAATATTATATTCTTAAAATAAAATATGTTAAACAGCAATATATATCTATCATTTTTTTTCTAAAACTCATTATCCATTAGTTTCTTAAATTATCGTAAATATTTTTACATTATTAATACTAGGAATATGTATAAAGCTTAACTAATGTAAAACCAATTGCCATGTTGATTAAGGAAATTAGTGATATAGAACGAAAAAATTCTATAACAATTTTGAAATATCAACCTTCAATACAACGTAACAAGGGAATAGGTCAAACTAAAAGTGGAAATATAAGTATGATTTTACAACAAAATTTTGAAATTTCCATGATTAAGGGCCCTAATATTTAGTGATCAAATGCGGGGTCCAAGGCAAATGCCTTAATTTTTGTACATTAGGCACGGGCCTAACTATGCATATTTATTGGAAGTACCGAAGTAAGTACATTTTTAACATAGTGCAGTAGGTGTAGAACCGTCTATCGTGAACTTAAGCGGGTACAATTATTTCTCGTGGAGTCATCTATAGAACATATCGTTGTTGCAAGGAGTTATGTTGGATAATTCCAAGACTTGAGGATCAAGTAATCCTAGAATGAGAAGATTCT